ATTACCTTTTCTAAAATATAAATAACATACATGATACAACAATCTAAATTATTCATTTTTCACGCAACGGAAATAATTTTGTTCTCAAATTTTACTTTAGTCCTTGAGATATGCAAAATGGAAAATTGGTCTTGAACTTGCCAAAAATTACAATGACTGTTAAACCTCATATCATGACTTCATAAGTTATTTTTTTAGGGTTATTAGCACGAAATGTCATTGAGTATGGAATTCATTATGCAAAACGTTCCAACGTTGCATTTTTTTTTTTTATTTTTTGCATTTTCACTCATATTTCAACATTTCGCTCCGATTTGGCCCCTATTAAATTAAAATTCATTTTTCTCTTTCCTCTTATTAACCACACATTTTTCACTAAAATAATATTATATGCAAACGTAAAAAAAATTCCTTTCTTTTTAATCATATAGTCTTTAAAAAATTATTATTCCCTTCATTATAATGTGAAAAAATTACTATTCCTTTCCTTCCTAAAATCATCATTTTCATCAATTTTCCAATAAAAAGCTATGAAATAACTAATATATCCTCATATTTAAATGGAACAAAAAGAGAAGAAATGAAAAACAAAGAATGAATTGCAATCATATCCCACTTTTTTTTATTTTATTTATAAATATACAAACAAGTCTCAAACAAATTATTAAAAAATCAGGAAAAGAAACACACTTTTCTCTCTCCTCCTCCTCCACCAGCACCAACGCCAACAACAAGAATAGTAAAGCCCCACAGGGCACATCCAAGTTGGCAAAGGAAGGACAGTGTGGGGCTCGCAACTCCAGCGTGGGGAGTTCGATTCCTAGTTGGAGCAGCTGAGTGTTGTAATAATCAGAGGAAGGGTTGGAGCAGCTTGGTGATGTAATAACCATGGAGGAGGCTCCCTTGGGGCCAGGAGTATAAAGGTTGTTCGAACCCTGATCAACTTGGGTACATCCCGCGATTTACCTCCCTGAGCTGCTGAGGGGCCGGAAGTTCAGGGACGAGGATATAGTCTGGCGTAAGCTGGGACACCTCGTTAAAAAATAAATAAATAAATAAATAAAATAAAACAACAACAAGAATAGTAAACAGTTAAACAAACTTTCATCTCTCCCATAAATTCAAATCACAAAATCATACAACTAACAAAGTTTACATTTCTTTACCAACCTGCCCCAATTCCTAAAATCTTCAAGATATTGGAAAAAAATCAAGCACAAGAAATTTTGAAATTGAATTGCAAAAACTCTAATGGCTTCATCATCAACAAAATCCTTTACTCATCTAATTTCTTTGGCACCAAAATTTTTATTTCAATGCCTACACCCAAAAAAGTTCCAAGAAAATTCCTAGTACAATATTTGATTTTCACAAGAAATCGAAATTCGATTGAGTGCTCTCCAGAGATTGCCACCATTTCTTGAATGGAAAACTCCTTGGATTCAAAAATTTGAATGATCTAATTCCTCGGCATTGTGGGTTTCGATAGACTGCGGTCGATTGAAGAGCTATTGTTGTTAAAGAATAAAATTTTCTCTTTCTTCTTTTAACTATATATTTTTGAATAAATAAAATATATTTGAAACCAAATATAATTTTTTTATTTTTTAACCACACGTTTCCCGTTAATTTACTATTTCAAAATGTATTATAAAAAAAAAGAAGGCCGAGGGGGGGGGGGGGGGGGGTTA